ATACAGTAAATTTAGTTAACCCTTAGCCCCGGATTGCCCCTCCTGGCCCCGTCTGTGGCCCCACCACAGGTGGGGCCATGTGTTTACAGGGATTTTACATTGAAAATAGGGTACTCAAAGACTGGTTGCTTAAATGATTCAAATTCCATCGTCCTTTTTAGCACTAAATATTGCGTAAGAACCGTATAAATGAGGAGAATTTTAACTTAGGTGTGCATCTCTTGACTGGATCATTGCAGCATAGATCCAAGTGGTTATCTTTCTTCAGCCATTTTCTTTTTTATGCGCTTTATTAAAATCAAACTTACATTTACGGACCAATTTTCGCCTTCGTTCTCAATATACAAGGTGTCCCAAAAATGTATACACATTTAAAGTAATTGTAAACTTGGTGTTTATTAAAATTTTGTTATTTCAAAAACGTAAAAATATGTAAAAGCATCATTTTCCTGTTTTGTTTTCACGCTATTTTGACAATGGCAACAGTGGCAGAATTCAGAGAAGCCAACAAGCATAACTGCACCCAAACACCAAGGGAAGTGTTTCATGGTATGTGCGATTCCAGTGCTTCGCGTTGTCAGTAGTGTCATGTTCTAAATGGACGTCAGTTTGAGAACATTCAGTGAAAAAAACAATAAAATGGTACTTGTTAATATATTCACACTTATTTAATAATAGAATTATGATTAACACCAATTTTAAAAATAGGTAAAATGTGTATACATTATTTGGGATACCCCGTATATTTCTAATTTGGTTCTTTTCTTCCGATGTAAAGGACGGGACCATTCCTATATATTACACCGGCCGTTACAGCTTACCACTTTTTATTAACCTTCTGCTGAGCATTGCAATTTGCTGCACAATTTAAATCTGACGCAGATTCTCACAGAAAGGCGCCAGTATATTCAGGAGTATCATACATCAGAAATGCCTCTTTTACGTTTAACCGAACCGCTGGTCACGCCCAAAAATGTTCACTACCAAGGTGGTGATCAGGCTTTAACTACATAACTCTTGGTTTTCGGTGGAGGTTTGCGCTGATTTTTCTGTGCTGCGTTCGTTGCAATTTGTCTACGCAGCTGGGGATTTTTCGGC